TATATGTTGTGAAGCCCCCACCATAGGCGAAGTCTGTGCAAAGAGCATTGCAGAGCCTCAGCTTCCACCGTGCTCGTTGGGGGCCCAAAGACGCTTGGCAGTATTGCCTGTCAAGGTGATGGCATGCTTCTGAGAACTCCTCCGCGGTAAGAGAAGGGAAGTTTTCAATACTCATTCCAACTGGAATATTGTGGTCGAGGTATGGAGAGTTTTAGTATCAGACGTGAAGTTGTGATTGAGTTGGGTATCGCTTCCACGTGCTGTGTTTTTAGGTACGAAGGGTCCACGTACCTGAGCTGGTGGTAATTTTAGTGCTTCGATCTAGCACAGCATGATTGTTTGACGGGACTATAGTTGGTTGGATGTAACATTTATGTGAGCTTTGATTTGTTAAGGTGCCCTATTTTTTTGTTGAAAGGGACTACCTAAGGTCCACGTAAGAACTCAAAGGTTAAAGTTGTACTTGATGTCACATAAAAAAAGGAAACACTTTCGCATCTTCAACCAGGATCATTTTGCTCTCCTATTGCAAGTCATAAATAACACAAGATTCCACAGACGGTAGATCATGGGATGCCACTATTGATCAAGTCTGCTTCTGCCATAACATAAGTCATACAATAGGTAAGGTAGCGATTCAAGTTGTAACGATTTGGTTTCGCAATATAAAAGGGAAACGGAATTGCTAGGTCCGAGTGCTCGGGCCAGGGCGCTAAACTTGACCGAGAGTCGGTGTTGCAATCGCAAACGACACCTTTTGTATAACCCCTGGTCGCGTGCCGTAAGGTAAAAGCTACCCCAAGCTCCTGATTTCGGTTCTGTCTGTATTTCTGTCCTCTATTGGCTCTGGCTGTTTCGTCTCAAGCTTGAGACTTTTGTTGCCACTTTCTTTGTCAACTGCTTCCTTGCTTGCGACCTGTACATAATAGTTCTTGTCCTGTCTTGCACTGTGAATTCTAGCGTCCTTTCGAGTCATTCGCTCTCGCTCTACTGGCTAGTCCCACCTAGAAATGAAAACACCAAGTCAATGATTCGAGATCCGTTCAACATCCACCGAACCACAAGCACTCTTGGACGCCCGCAATCTCGAAACATTCCTGCGCCGTCGCGGGCCGAGGCCGATGAAGTAGCTATGGCCTTCTCTATGCCCCGAACCGTTCCGTCCTTTGATAGTCGTCAACGAGAGCTTGAGGATCGATTCTGGGGTTCTGGCCAGAGATCCAACAAGTCGGATCGACTCCCAATGTACAAAGATAAACCTTATGCGTCGCCTTACGACGATGAAGACAGACCCTTTTGGAAGCGGAAGAAGTGGGTGGCTATTATTGCCTTGGTTGTTTTGACTTTAATATATTGGACTGGATCCTCGAAGAAACCCTCACCGAAGCGAACTGTAACCACCGATTGGAGCTACACAGGCTTGTCCAAGGACGATAGAAAGGCGAACTGGGATCACAGGAGAGATCGCGTGGTCGAGGCATTCGAGCTGAGCTGGGATGCCTACAAGCGATATGCCTGGGGTACGTCTGGCCGAATATCTGGGCGGGATTCAAATTGGCTGACCGAAGAACTCGACAGGATTCGATGAATACCACCCAATTAGCAAGACGGGTGAAAACATGGCACCAAAGGGGCTCGGCTGGATCATAATCGACTCTTTGGATACTATGATTCTCATGAACCTTACATCTCGTGTCCAAGACGCTCGTCATTGGATCTCGGACTCCTTGACATGGGATCAGGATCAGGATGTCAACACCTTTGAGACGACAATTCGAATGCTGGGTGGGCTTCTAAGTGCACATTACTTATCCACCGAGTTCCCGGGGCTTGCGCCACTGGCCGAAGATGACGAGGGGGCAGCCGGCGAAGATTTGTATCTTGAGAAAGCTAAAGACTTGGCCGATCGTCTCATGAGCGCATTTGACTCCCCATCTGGTATCCCATATGCCAGTGTCAATCTTGCCAAGTTCGAGGGCATCCCCTCACACGCAGACATGGGAGCGTCGTCGACGGCGGAGGCTACAACTCTCCAGCTTGAGTTCAAGTACCTCGCAAAGCTCACAGGAGAAAAAGACTTTTGGGACCGTGTGGAAAATGTCATGAAACTTGTCGACAATCAAGGAGCTCAAGACGGCTTGGTCCCCATCTTTATCTATGCAACCTCGGGCGAGTTCAGGGGTGAAAACATTCGTCTGGGAAGCCGCGGCGACTCATACTATGAGTATCTTATCAAGCAATATCTTCAGACGAATAAGCAGGAGCCTATCTACCAAGATATGTGGTACGAGGCGCTTCAGGGCGTTCGCAAGCACCTCGTCACATATACTTCCAACTCCAAGTTCACCATCATCGGAGAGCGACCGAATGGATTAGAGATGCCACTTAGCCCGAAGATGGACCACCTCGTGTGCTTCATGCCCGGTACAATAGCTTTAGCGGCCACAGAAGGCCTTACCGAGGCTCAGGCACGCAAACTGCCGACGTGGTCGAAGAAGAACGAGGAGGATATGCAGCTGGCGCGAGAGGTCATGGAGACATGCTGGGGAATGTACAAGTACATGGCAACAGGGCTATCAGCCGAAATCACCTACTTCGAGATTGACAACCCGCCAACAGCTTACGGCAATCCTCGAAACGGTCCAGTTAATTTCGACCCAAGTCCGGACGCGGAGTGGCGTAAGGACTTTACAGTCAAGTCTGGCGATGTTCACAATCTCCAGCGGCCCGAGACAGTCGAGAGTCTGTTCTACATGTGGAGGATTACCAACGACAACCGATACCGGGAATGGGGCTGGGAGATGTTCAAGTCTTTCATGAACCACACAGCTGTGCGAAATGGTGGAGGCTTTACGAGTCTGCGCAATGCAAATGTTGTCCCGCCTAAAGTACGGGACAACATGGAGAGCTTCTGGCTGGTAAGTGATAAAGATCCATGGATGTGAGCGAGCAGCCAGTCAAGATGCTAACATGACCACACAGGCTGAAACACTCAAATACTTCTACCTCCTCTTCTCACCTCCTGATCTCCTACCTCTGGACAAGGTCGTTATCAACACAGAAGGACATCCACTGCCTCGCTTTGACATGGGAAAGTTGTTCTCTACAGGATGGAAGAGAAAGCCAAGAGACGCCAATGGTAAGATCATCGCTACAGTTGTCAACGCAGAAAGTCAAGAGAAGGAGGCCGTTATGCAGGACGCCAAGAAGGTGAATTAGAGCAGCTGATACCGCGGGTGCGGTGATTGGATGCGGTGAATAAGCTTAAGTGATACAGGGTGGCGAAGTTACGTTGAGCATATGTAGCATTTATTTGATATATCATACTGTTTGAGCATGGGCAAAGGCTTGAATAGAAGCCCAAAGCCTTGGTACTGAATTTCTTTTCTCAAACGCCCCTCCCTTTTGGTCGAGGCAGATACTCTTTTCGTGGCGTTGCAGCTGCCTTTCTGGTCCAAGCTTCAAGGGAGACAGGGTTGTGATGTTCTCGAAAAATATGGTTCGATGGCTTACGGGCTTGTGCCTGTCTATTTGACGAGCAAGAACAAGGAGGCAGATAGGAAAGGATCCGCTTCCCCGTGTTTTTGTTCTTGGCGTGTGATTGTATCTGCGATAGGCCCTGGATCATCGTATCTATGAACCGGGACTCATGAGGGCTAGAACGTGAGGTAGAACGAAAGGATTTCCTTTTGTCGGGACCGAGAAGAGGGGAGACGCAGTTGGCCGATGAATGGAAGGATCCTCGTATCAGGGAGGGCTGAAATGGATTGGAAGAGGGAGGGACGGGAGTGTGATAGTCAAACTTAGTGGTGAATGCACCTGCTGGAGATGGTTTAGGTGGGTTGCTTGGGAAGACAGGGGTTGTTGCTGTTGGTTTTGAAGGATTGCCTTTAGCAGCTTGTGATTTATCTTTGATACTGCGTTGGGCCACGATGTGTGTGTACTGACCAAAATCTGGTGTTTTGTCTCTCGGAGATCTAAGATAGAACCCACCTTTCAATACCGAGCAGTGAATCCACATCTTCAATTCTTTACGTACTCTTTCAAGATTGATCGGATGCACAGACAGACAGAACCCGGCAGCATGGTCCAGGCGGTATCTCCAGCGTGCGGGGGGGGTCCAGCCAAAAGGCGTTACAGCGTTACAGCGTTACAACGACTCACTCTAGACGTTCTAAGGCTCCCCACCTCCACTACGATAGCGTCACCTCGGTCCCTCTCCACCAATGCCCGTGGTTATTCCTCAACGCTCGGAGCGTTTGACAGCTCGATCTCAGTGGCGTCTTAGTTGACTTGGGATTAGCATTTGCTGTAAGTGGTCAGAAGATGATTTGATCTGATACTGTACCAAGGATACCATTGCCCATTGGGGGCGGTCGTTCAACGCCAAGCAACTGTCACCGACTGTATTACTCCCTCTCCTCTGAGTCTAGAATGATAAGCCCACCTCCAGCCCCTTCTCACACGACCTTGACGTTATCTACTACCTTGCTTCTCTTTCTGTTGCTTTGATTGCTTGATTGTTGCGCACATGCAGTCCATCAAACTTGACTGCCCCCATTTTCAGCTCTACCTAAACTTAAACATCGCATGTCGACTTACATATTAACACATATCCACTCGTCGCGACAACTCCATCACTGCTCTTTCTAACTCCACTACCTTCTTGGTGGCGATATGCCGACCGTCTCACTACGACTATCGAGACGATCAAGATACCAGCAACAAATATATTGCCTCAAATACAACCACCTGTTCACACACCTTGAGTCGTTCGCTAAAGCACTGTGACCCTGACGAACCCCACGAACCAGCGTCCTCCCCCGACGAACCGCTTACTCACAACATATACCTCCCACTCACCTCCCACATCCGCATACGCCTACGCTTACAACTCCGACAACAATCCCCAGCGGAGGGCCAGCTCCAGTCATCCCACAGTTCGGGATCGACCAAGCGTGAGCTCGGCCCGCGCACAGCGCGCAGGCTCAAGTGCAAGAATGGCTCCTCACGATGTCGAGCGCGGGAGCATTAGCAAGATGAAGGAGGAGTCGCTCGCCCCCGGGAGTTCTTTTAGCATGCGCGAACCCGAGTACGGTGATATTTCCCCGCCTTCATATTGGGACCGGTTCGTCGATGGGTTTAGGCGGGATCAGAGATCGAGTTTGTTCACGAATGATCCGTTGGGGCAGCACGAGGGGTCCGGGAGAGTGCATGATGGAGCGCATTACTACGATATCCAGAGTGCCATGTTGGAGACGGCGAATTCAGGCCTTGCGAGAGAGTTGAAAGGAAGACATTTGCAAATGATTGCAATCGGAGGCTCCATCGGTGAGTTTACTTACAGTGGTTACAGCATTCCTCCATGGAGAAAACTAAGACATAGACTTAGGTACTGGGCTTTTTGTCGCATCGGGAAGAGCTTTGGCAGATGGAGGTCCAGCGTCGATTTTGCTGGCTTTTACAATTGTGGGCGCCATGCTCTTTTGTACATGCCAAGCGCTGGGTGAGCTTGCAGTCATCTTCCCAATTGCTGGATCATTCTCTTCGTGGGCGACTCGGTTTATCGATCCGTCTTGGGGATTCGCAATGGGGTGGAAGTGAGTGTTGCTCTTTTGCTGCTGGCCTGGCCTCATATACTGACTTACACAGCTACGCGATGCAATGGCTCATCGTGTTACCGCTCGAGATCATCGCCGCATCCCTAACCCTCTCTTACTGGGACGAGAGTCTCACACGCGCCATTTTCGTCTCTGTATTCCTAGTCGTCATCATAGTCATCAATATGTTTGGCGTCAAAGGCTACGGTGAAGCCGAATTCATCTTTTCCATTATCAAGGTCATTGCTGTTATAGGCTTTATGTGAGTGCTTTCAACTACATGTCCTCAGCCGTTGCAGAATTAACATTCCGCTCAGCCTTCTCGGCATTGTTCTCAACTGTGGCGGAACGCCAGATAGCGGATACATTGGTGGCCGTTATTGGCAAAACCCTGGGGCTTTCAACAACGGTTTTAAAGGAATGTGCAATGTATTTGTTACAGCAGCTTTCTCATTTGCTGGCACTGAGCTTATTGGCCTTGCTGCCGCTGAAACAGCGAATCCGCGAAAATCGCTGCCAACGGCTTTGAAGCAGGTGTTTTGGAGGATCACGCTTTTCTATATCGTTGCCTTGACATTGGTAGGACTGCTCGTTCCACACACTGACCCTCGGCTCGTGGGCGGTAACAGCGATGCGGATGCATCAGCCTCACCTTTTGTCATAGCCATTGAAGAAGCCGGCATTCAGGTCCTACCGTCTGTCATGAACGCGGTCATCCTTACTGCCGTCCTGTCCGTCGGTAACTCTGCCGTCTTCGGTTCCTCGCGTACCCTTGCTGCTCTTGCAAACCTTCGGCAGGCTCCCAAGATCGTCGGTTACGTCGACCGCAAAGGCCGCCCACTCGTCGCCATTGCGATCGCAAGCGCGTTCGGCCTCATCGCTTTCCTCGCAGACCTGCCCGAACAAGGAGCTGTCCTTGACTGGCTCATGGCCATCTCCGGCTTATCAACCATCTTTACATGGGGCTCCATTTGCGTGTGTCATATCCGTTTCCGCCGTGCGTGGGCTGCCCGAGGCCGCTCCGTCTCCGAGTTGCCCTTCCAATCCCAGGTCGGCGTCGTGGGTTCTTGGGTTGGTATCACACTGAACGTTCTTGTTATCATAGCGCAATTCTGGGTCGGCGCCTTTCCCATCGGCTGGCAACAATTAACAAGCGCCCAGGTCGCGCAGAATTTTTTTCATAAATGGGTTGGCGCACCCTGCGTTTTGGCCTTTTATGTATTCCACAAGCTTTATTTCCGAACTACGTTTGTGAGAATACGAGATATGGATGTCGACACTGGACGTCGGGACTTTAACGTCCCTATCCTTGTCGCCCAGGAACGAGAGGAGCGAGAAGGTTGGCCCAGATGGAAGAGATATTACAAGTTCATGTGCTGAGCCATGAGAATTATGACGAAATAATAAGAGGCGTTGGATATATATCTCATTGTGAATTTGGTTATTACCCAGGTTAGCATGGAGTTGAATTGGATGCGCTTAGAGCGCGGGATTCGTTACCTATGACCACCCACTGGACTACATTTATATCTGCACTTGTACTCCGTAATAACGCTATATTTATGCAGACCCGTTTCGAATCGATTCCATACCGCTGCGGAGGTGTGCTGAGTGCCAAACAATACCAGGCCACGGCATCAACTAATATTAATCACTGAAAGGCACTCATGTGCCTCTTATGATGAAGTTTCAGAAAGTGTGATAGCAATGGTATCTAATTGGAGTCACTCATATGTTTATACGTCGTTTTGAGAACATGCCCGCGTCTGATCGTCCGCCTCCTGCCAAATAATTTGTGTTCAGCAGCCTACCTACGTAAGCGAGGCCGTAAAACAAGCAAATAAGAAAGAGTAAGAAAAGGGCAAAAAGAAAAAGATAAAAGACGAAGTTCCGAGGACTATGATTCTCTTTCAAGCGGGGTTTCCAAGGCGGAAAGTAATGCTGATGAACCCTCGTGATTCATAACTCGTGCGTTTGCATGCAGGTATGCACACAACATAACCGAAGACTGTAGCAATAGGACAGGGCGCACATTTTGATCTATTAAAGTCCGAGTGTTCTCCCTAGCAAAGCACTCTTCTCCTCTAAAAGTCCCAGAAGTCCTTCTTGGAGGGTGCGTTCTGCCGTGTGGGAAGAGGCTGCTCGTCCAGTTCACCGTAGAGCCAGTCTCGGTTGGTGCCCTTTCGCCCACCCATGCCGTCGCCTGCAATGTTGATCTTGTGCTTATCTGTGTTCTCTCTGACTTCGTTGGTGGGTGCGGTGCTGGATCCTGGTGTTCGGGTAGGGATCGATTTGGTGGCTGTTGCTTGACCGCCAGATGTCTCACTCGTCTCATTGTAGAGCCAGTCACGCTCGGTACCCTTCTTACCACCCATGCCATCACCTGCAATGTTGATCTTGTGCTTGTCGGTATTCTCCTTGATTTCACTGGCAGGTGCGGCGTTGGATCCTGGTGTTCTTGTAGGGATCGGTTTGTTGGTCTTTGAGTCACCAGCTGTCTCGCTAGTCTCATTGTAGAGCCAGTCTCGCTCAGTACCCTTCTTGCCGCCCATGCCGTCGCCTGCAATGTGAATTTTGGCACTCTTGGTCAAGGGAACGCCCGACGCAACAACATTGGGTTGCTTGCGGGTGGGAATCGACTCAGGGACATCTTGAGTTTCTCCATAGAGCCAGTCCCGGTTGGTGCCCTTTCGCCCTCCCATACCATCACCGGCGATGTTGATCTTGTGGCTATCGGTGTTTTCGGTTGGTCGGTTTTCCTTCTGACCGGCAGGAGACCTGTCGTATGTATCCCAGTTGTGTTGCATCATTTGGACAGCTTTCTGGTGGCCTTCAGGGACACGATCTTGGGGGTGGGCTGGTGACTTGTCACTGATATCGAAGTGGTGGTCAAAATCTTTTCCACGGTCTTTCACGTTGGTGATGTTGCCTAAAGCGCGTTCGTTTTGTCCTACGTCCTCCTTGTCAAACAATTGATTCTTATAAAGCCTTAGGCCCTCGTTATGAGCATAGCCCGGGGGATGGGAACCGGGGCGCGGTTGCTGGGGCACTCTCTCACCGTCGTCAAGTAGCTCGAAGTGTGCGTCGGCATCGCGTCTAGGCTTGGCAGCCGGGTGGCCTGGTGTCTCATCCACAACATCCTTGTCAGTGTCCCAATGGCGAACATCCTGGGTGCGCATAGTTCTGGAGGGCTTCACTTTCTGTGGCGTCACGAAATCCTGGAAAGACCATTGGCTGTCGTGCTTAGACTTTGGTCTTTCATCAAAGGATTGGCCCGGCTTGGGGGCGTCCTGAGGGTCACTACCATCGGCAAAGTCGAAATGAGAGTACTTCTTTGGGTTAGGGCGGATATATCGCTTATTCTTGGGCTGAGGTTGCTCCTCCGGTTGCTCGACATGCTCTTGACCATCGAAAATTCGCGAAGGCTGGAAGTTCTTACCCTGTCCCCGCTTGGAAGGCGACATATTTCGACGGCCAGAGCTGGGTGAAGTGGGTTCGTCACCCAAGATCTCGGTGAAAGACCGCTGTCGAGGGCGGCTAGTACCAGCGTAAGGAGATATAACACTGGCGGGCTCCGCTTCAATTTCATCTCGAGGACCAAACAGCCTCAGGGATGCATGGGGGTCGCGGAGGGCATTAGTGGAATTAGTTCGGTTTCGCGCAACGGTCTCGTTGTGGCTGGGGGCGACAGGGGCACCAGTGCCAGCCGTTCTGATGCAAGACTGGATAAATGCGATCTGCTCTCGGCTATCTCTAATGGGCCAGTTGCGGCCAGACTTTCCAATCACTTCCACTTGCTTGAGAAGCGAGCCCTGGTCCCATTGGAGTCGAATCTGAAGAATCTTGCCAGCTTCATCGAAGGTCACAAAGTGAGTCTGTGGGGAGCAGTTAATACTTGGTTCGTGTTGGCCCGAGGCAGAAAAGAGCACTCCAAGCAGAGACACAACGTACAACTGGGAGGTAAACGTCACGGGCAGACAAAAAATTGTCATCAAGGCCAGGGAGATAAGGGCCGCCTCCAGTTTGAAAGCCGAGACATGTGTCAACTTCTAAGACAATAACGTTTTGTCCATCAACGGTATTGAACACTTCCTCCTTCTTCTTTGCGACCTGCTTCTGGAGCGCATTCAGATGCTTGATGATCTCAGTAGGACCAGAAAAAGTCGTGGTCGTGGTAACGTAGTGCAGCGCAGCCGTATCAGCCAGCAGAGACGAGCTGGGCGCAGCAAGGAACTGCTTGTAAGTGGCCGCCATGTTGATGACGAAGTTGCGACTTATGCAGGGTAAGGAACGTCGTTGGTGTCTCAAATGAGTTGGCGGCAAAATAAGTAAACACAAAGAGCCGTGGGTTGAGGTGACCGAAGCAGAAGAACAGGACGGCGAAGGCAACGATGATGCAAGAAACAGGTTGCGAAAGCTTTGAGTTGGGGAGAAGGAGAATGAAAGTGAAGGGAGGATGGAAAACACGAATTCAAAACAAGCACGTGGAGTTGGAAGTGAACTTACCTTAGTGAAGGTGGGATTGGGATCTTAGTGGGAGAGTCAGGGGTCCAAAGGGACCTGCCTATTGGTGCTGGGGCTAACGGCCCCCTACCTTACCTTGGACTTTAGTTCCCCTCATCTCCCTAGCCAAGCATGATGAATTCTAGGATTTTCTCATGATGGCGCAGTCAAGGAGCTAACGTTTCTAATCTTGGTTGGATCTGAGGGGAAAGCTGAAATGAAAGGGATTATAGCCCTGTCCAGAAATGATGCACTTACACGACGCCTGTTTGTTTGTTCCTGCCAGCCATGGGCTTCCTCTCTTCATCCAATTGTAAATACACTAATACTACACGTAAGGTGCCCAGTGTGTTTGTGAAAGTAACATATCAGTACCTGGTCGCAATTCGCTGTCTGCTGATAGAGAAACTTAAGGATTAAAGTTCCGCTGTGGCTTCGGGAACGCGATTGTGAGTAGTCCCTGAAGGTATTTAATAGTCAATTCACCACTACCTACTAACCTACCTCCTCAGGTAGGTTCATACTCACTCACTCACTCGTAGAGGAGTTACCTCCACCGTTGGAACTTTAAATCGAGGTTCGCCACATTCAAGCGAGTCTGTCAAGTTGGACTATAGGCCCCTCTTCATCTTTGCATATTTGTTCATGTTTGCTTGGTTTCGTTTGCCTAGGTGATGTCGTGAAGGGACTAATGATATGGATCCATTTGCCCTCGAGTCCCACTTGTCGACGGGATGAATATCAAGGTCAGGTTGGCTCCTATCACACACTTCAACAACCCTCAAGTCAGTGCCACTATATGCAGATGACATCTCTCATTACGGTTGAGTGGCGAGGTATCACTTCGTTGATATTACATCAATGCATCGATAATGTATGCTTACGATGCTTGCACCTGTCTCTGCTTCGACTTAAATCTACATCTCAAACGGGTATGGCTTTCATGTGAGACTAATGTACCGTACCTGAGAAATACGGAGCCCCGTGCCGAACCAGGGGCCGCATCACCTCGCTACTCCACAGCGTTTCAGCTCTTTTTACACACCTTTCCTATCTAGGAATATCTGGGCATAGCTATCAAAGCCTATGACTGGTGGTAGAGATGGCTCCCTCTAATGGTATAATGTTTATCGTAAAATCATCAGTTATGAAATCTATGATGTGGAAGATATGGCTTGCATGGCACTTACTAATAAATATCGTTATAAGTCAGCTCTACAAACGTCACGGATTGGATGCCGCTGTCAAATGTGCACCTTCTTGAGCCTGCACCTATCCATAAATATTTATACGAGCTCTCGTTGTATGTTCTTGAGAGCGTCGTAGACTAAGTGGATAAATCGAGAGGCTGATATATGTTATAACGTCTGATCCTCATGAATTCATAGTACAATTCAGTAAAAGGCATAAGTAATGCTTCATGTGTGATGCCGAGAGTTTCGCCTTCACATCAAACATGATTGTTCGATCTCGGTGTGTTCGCAATTGCACAACTTGCATAAATCACTGGAATCCATTTTTGCCAAGTCTCCATTTGAAGGCTTGGTTTGTTCTAGTTCAAGATTATTCACTGATCATCAATGCCAAGAATGAGATCTTCCAAACATGGCATTTAGACTACCCGAGCTAGGGAAGGAAAGAAAATCCAGGACCTTGATCCTAGGTGACAAAAAGACTTAGATATTTTTAACAAATTTGGGATACTTTTACTATATTTAGGATATCTTTTGCTGAGTTTATTTTTGACACCTTACCTTATATCAAGGTCCGGTGTTTTCTTGCTCCCTGAAGCCGAGTTGCTGATAACTATCGATAGCGCCACTCCATGCATTCCAGCACTGTTAAAGCGAAATAAAAGAAGGAACGAATGATATTGA